TAAAGACAAAATCTGTATACATTCAGTGTATAATTTGATATTCTGATCTATTATATGGCCTTTTTAAGATACAACATTGTAACAATGGGACAAAGAATGGACAACAGCAATAAAATTTTAGAATAAACAAAGGTGGTGGGAAAAAACAACATGGAAGGAAAGACCAAAAATTAAATACACACACACACACACACACACACACACACACGCACGCACACACACACACAGAGATCACAATTCCATAAGTATCTGGGACTGACAACTCTGGGCACCTCTGAAACTGAGGGTTAAGTGAGACTAATAAAATAGAGTTGGTGGAAAGTTCAAGGGTCACTTGAGTCCCCAGATGCACATTTGGAGGTTTATTCCCTGAAATGGATACTACAGGAATAAGGTCTCTGACCTGTAGACCATAGGCACATCACTAAATTTTCACTAAAGCAGGATTAAGAAAAAAAAAGCACAGTGAATGCCAAGACCTCTAAACTCTTTTCCTACTTTCCGCTCAAAATTTCATGGTGAGAACTTTTTTACATTTCTCTAAAAGCCTGGGGTCCAGCAGATCCATCCCTCACCTTCCTACTACAAATTTTTAACGTTAGAGTACCAGCTGTGCATCTGATAGAGGAAGCAATCTATATTTAGCTGCTTGGTATGGCAAGGAGTATACATGTATGCAAAAGTGTCAAAACAGAAAGAATTTAGACTCACCTTCTTGTTCCATCTAACTGGTTTTGTGTATATTTACCCAAGCATCAAAGAGGGTACAAGAGAATCACATCACACCAGTTTAAAAAATAAAAATAAAAAATAAACTTTGCTTTTTATCTTGCACTTGAGAAATCAGATTTGTAAGTTTTGGAGGAGGTCAAAAGTGAATTATCAGATTACTCATGCATGGATGAGGACACTGATCCACGATGGTAAAATAATGTTTTCATAACAGAAGAGCGGTGTGGGTGGATAATGAGGATAATGATGGTTTTGATGTTGGTCATGTGAGCCAAAGTTCCTGTGACAGTAAAATGGAACAAGAAACCAGTGATACAGAGACGGGGGATGTAGACCTCCTCGATACAGATGACAAAGAAAACAGCATGAGTACATACTTGACTAGTCAAAATGTTGCAAAATGACCATGCAACCAAACGGACTGACCCGAAGTTAAAACTTGGTCCAAAAATAGAGAACCTATTGGACAGAATGCTAGCACTGCCGTTGTGTTGGAAGTTTTAACAAATGAAATGCCACACAATGCTGTGAAATATACAAAGGATGAAATGCAAGTATTCTGTGTGCATCAACAGCCATATTCACTATGACACCCTAGTAGCTGATATGAAAGCATTCATAGGCCTGTTGTACTTAGCATAGATTTCTCATGGTGATCACAGGAATGTAAAAAAGATTTAGGAAAAGCAATGGCTCAAAACATGGCATAAAAATTTACATCCTTTATAGATGCAAGGCTTTATCGTTCTTTTAATTTAGACATCTATCCTGGAACAGAGACATCAGGCCCTGTTTATTACTTGGACAGCAAGAAACCCAATAATATAATAAACAGACTTGTTCTTCCCATCTTCCAAACTAATCAAAATGTGATATTCCACAACTGGTTTACCAGCTTCCATTTATACTTGCTAACAGAGCACAAGCTGACCAGCACAGGAACTGCACACAGGAGCAAAGCAGAAATTTCAAATGAAATGCTGCAATTTTAAAACAGAGAACTGTACAGTATAATCTTTGGATTTCAGAAGATACCACTGGCCTAGTACCTGGCAAAGAAAACCATACTGTACTGCTGAGGTCAACATTTCACCATGATGGAAATATCAATAGGCAAACCTCAACAAAACAGAAGCCTGAGATAGACACTTTCAACAACAGAGCCAAACACTGAGTAGATGTTGTTGAGGAGTTATACAGCAACTATGTTATTTGAAACACAAAACATTGACTCATAGTGGTGTTTTACTCACTCCTAAACATGTGGCACAGTTTGATAGCTTACGAAGAAAATAATAAGTACAAAATATCAAGCAGAAATTTTCTTAGCAACTGGAGCTCATAAGAGATCATTTATAGCAGAGGAAAAACAAAATGTTTCTACCCAGGGAACTAAAAAAAACTGTAGAACACACTCATGAGCTAACAGGTAAACAGCCAGGCACAGCATTACAAAGACCTACCTTGACAACAGGGAAACAAGATGTTAACTGTGCCATACAAGGAAATACAAGGAAAAAAAAAAACGTATTAGGAGTGTGAAATGTGTGCACTGAACATGTAGCTCTCACATGTGAAGACTGCCTTGGGTATGACAGTTGAAGCAAAGCTTACTTCTGTGGTAGGCTTTTGTTTACATTTACTTTGTCGTTCACAAAGAAATTTATTTCTGATGCTATCTTTTGGATTTTGTGTAACCAAGTGCAGTTAATGTGAAAATTTTTAGATCTATCCTAAGTACATAATGTGTATTAATAACTTCCTAATTTCATTAGTATTCTATGGTCTGGCTAACTATACACTGTATAAGAACCTCCTGACAAAACAAGACCACTGAGATGTCAAGTACCTCCTACAAAAAGGCTAGGAAAGTCAAAAAGACATGTGCTATCATGTAAGTAATGCTCGTGTATGGGATGCACTGTTGTCCTGTGTTTGAAGTGCTGTAGGTATGGTAACTGAAGTAAATGTTTTCTTTGGCACAGTGCTACTGCTATTTTCATTGTAGTTCATATATATGGGAATTTATTTCTGATGTTCTTTATAGACTTTGTACATCAAACACCAGTCAATGTTGAAAATTTTAACACTCAAAAATATTAAAGTCAGTATTTTATTTTTTTGTGATCTTCTGTTAACTGTTTAATAAAACTCTTTAAAATTAATAATTAATTCATAAGTATTCTAATGATACACCTTAATGAGAAAATTAGTCTTATGTCCCAAGCTTTCTTTAGTGAATTTTCCCTATTCTAATGATGCTGCAGGACTTGTCCTATAACCAGGCCATGAATGCCAAATATTGGAGCTGACAAGCTCTACACACACATTCAGAGCATTTTTAGTTCACCATACTAAATATAGGCAAAACATCATGATCAACATACATCTGAAAAAAGCAGTTAACATGAAGCACCAAAACATGGGAGAGGAAAAAAAAAAAAAAAAAAAACCTACGGAGTAAATAATCTAGAAAGCAAAAACTTCCTCAAAGATATGAAGATACAGCAACCATGGGAGAATAAAAGGCTTCAAGAATGATTTGGTGAACTAAAGAGCTCTTAAAAATCACAACAAAAACTGCTTTAAAATTTCTTTTCAACAGAAAGGTTGGAAGGTAGTTTAGAAAAATCCCTAGAATGGGAAGACAAAAATTAAAAGACCAATGAAACAAAGTGTAGCTATCCATTAGATCCAAGAACTAAACAAAATTGGTTTCAAAAAAAGAAAAAAGAGAATCATTATCCCAGAATGGAGGTACCATATTCAGAGAGCCCACTAAGAACCAGTGTAAGAGAAAAATCTGCAAGGTATATGGCATATAATTAGAAAATTTGAGAACACAGGGACTTAGAAAGCTCAAAAAAAAAAAAAAAAAAAAAAAAAGCTTCCTAAATTTCATTATTTTTCAAGATTCCAGTCCTTGTATTCTGAAAGTGCTTTCCCACCTAGAATTCTGTGTGCAGCTAAACATTTTCAGGTATGTCAAAAGAATTATTTGCTTAATTTTAAGGAGTCACAGGAATGGGGGGGGGGACCTATTAATATCAGATGTCTGACAACTGGAGAGGGAAATATGAAAAGAATGAAAGCAGCCTAAACAAAACTCCTAGTACTGGATTAGAAGTAGAATCATCAGTACATGGGTATCTGCATAACAAAAGGCCAAATCTTGACAGACTTGTGGCAGTAAGTACATATATACCCATTCCCTATTAAATGTCTGACCCCACTGCAGCAGGGAAAAGACAAGATAAGCCTGGAAGACTGTTGTGCTAGAAAACAGTAAGTACTCAAAACACTGATACAAATATCACAGAACACAAAAACAGTGCTGAAAGGTGCCTCCCACCACCACCATTAGCAAAATTTGGAAGCATTTAAGACAAATAAAAACTAGTGGATTGTAACCCATTCAATAAAATCATCAAGGAGTTCATCCTGGAAGGAAAAAGCGAAAAATTAAATTGAAGATGGCCAAAAATAAATTAGTAGTCATTTTGTACTATCGCAGTAATAATTAGGCAAGAATTATCAATGGATGCTAAAACTACGATCAACATACATCTGAAAAAAGCAGTTAGCATGAAACACCAAAAACAAGAGAGAGAGAGAAAAAAAAAAAAACCTTATGGAGCAAAAAATCTAGAAGGCAAAAATCTTCTCTTCAAAGATACGAAGATACAGCAACCATGACAGAACAAAAGGCTTCAAGAATGATTTGGTGAACTCTAGCTCTTAAAAAGTAGATCCAAGAACTAAACAAAATTGGTTTCAAAAAAAGAAAACCATTATCCCAGAATGGAGGTATCACATTCAGAGAGCCCACTAAGGGCCAGTGTAAGAGAAAAATCTGCAAGGTATATGGTATATAACTAGAAAATTTGAGAATACAAGGACAAGGAAGCTTAAAAAAAAAAAAAAGTATAATGCAGAAGAGATGGCTTACAAGCCTCTAATCTTATCTCACAAATTACTTCTTACTACTAAAGGAAAAAACAACTTGACACTGGTGAAACCTACAGACACTACTTTACCAAGTCGGAGGTAAACGCCAACAGTAACAGCACAACACATCTCATGTCCCCTAGTGTGAAGTTTTTAAGAATGTACCATAATGTGTTATATTCTTGTCAAAACTGCAGTTTGAATCTAATGAGTAAACAGAGAATATGAAACTGAGGTACAAATTCTTCAACTTGGAGACAAATCACTGTACATTTCAGGGACAGACATACTCATGCTAAAAATATGCAGTCACAAAAATGTCAATTTTTCATTTTATTCAAAGTTGGTACAGAAGTGCTAACATTTCCATAAAATAATTACTATACTTCAGTTACAAGACAAAATACCACAGAAAGGAATGTACTTTGCAAGAAATGTAGTTCATCTTAAATTTCCAAATACTTCTGAAGGCTAATGCAGCAGCTGGCAAAATAACACACAGTACATAAAGAACAGTGTATTTTACAGAGTCAGTAATGAAAACTGACAGCTCATTAGATTTACCTCAGTAACACTTTTAAAATACATTAAATCAAGGATCACACGTCTACAATTTTAAAAATCAGATTGTATACAATAAAGTTAGAATTATTGTAAATGGTTAAGAATTTTAAAACTACAATTTTAATTATTTTCCCTTCAATATGGAAATAACCTGGTTTATACCAAATTCTACTTTCTGCTGGCAACTAAAACACTGCACAGTAAAATGGACCCAATTAGTTAAACTTTAAAACAAAAAGCTGTGAACAAGGGTAAATTATTAATCAGTTTACAATAAAAAATTCATTAACAAAATTAATTCATCAAATTCATTATAATCACATTTGCTCTACAACTGCTAAATGACTAAAATGATACATGAACACAATACAACTCCCAGTGTACCGACTGGACTTTTACAAAAAATCTGAAAGCATAATAGGCAGGACACTGGGAAAAATATTATGCAATGTAGACATTTTTAAAAATGCATGAATACTTACATATCAAAATTACTAGATAAAAGCAGCAGTACTCTGCTGACATTTGGCTTAAAAACAAAGGAATGAATGAAGCAATTTCACAGGATATTATTAGAAAAGGAATTGTTTTTCTTCTTGAAGAAGACTACTAACTTTTGCACAGCAACTATTTTTGATATCCATCTTATCAAAAAAGAAAAAAAAAAGCACTGAGAAGCCTAACACAGTTCATACTGTGATTGCCAACACAGGTCTAGAAAGAGAACACGGGACATCCAAGCAAAGAATGAGTGGTAAATCCCTGATCTATTGCTGAACTCTGCTGGCAATCTATAAACTGAAGCAATAATGGCTGGGGAAAGCAGGTTACAGATTCCATACCATTATCTGACACTAATGTAGTATGTCATTATTAAAAAAAATAAAGCTTTTGCATTTTAACAACCCCACAGAAAAGTCCATGAGCAAGACTTGATCTGTTTGCCACTGAAAGTCTGAAATCTCACAGTGAAATTAGAAAATTTTAACTATACATATTTACACTGCTAGGGCTACTTTTCACCTAGGCTAATTAAAGCAGTTTTCCATGGAATTATAAATCCAAGATATCTCTGCCAAAGGAATTTTCAAAAGTAGTATTTCATTAAGTTCTAATAAGCTATTTTAAACTTAACAGTACAGAATACATAGTATACAGGACTAACAGATTATAACTGATTTGCATTTTCACATTCTGCTAAGCCAAGGGTGCTTGCTCCTCAAACTTCTCCAGTTCCTTCCATTCCTGGTATTCCTCTCCCCTGACACTGCCCTCTCAAGCCTAAGGTTTTACATTCTAAAATAATATGGATAAACACCTGGCTAGCTTTGTGCTGGAAAGAGGAATCTCCCTCAAAATGTTCAGGTTACCTCACCTAAAACATGTCACATTAGCCTACACAAACTATAATCTTAATTCTAGACATATGAGATTTGACCAAGCCCACCCCTAAGAAGATAAACACACAAAATACAGAAGAGCAGGAACAAGGAATTTACTTCTCTCCTAAGAACTGTATTTGACATTCAGACAAAATTCAAGATACAGCTATTTATTTACTCTTGCTAAGTGTGGACCATTTGGAAATAAATGAAGTGAGAGACAAGATAAGGGAGTTGCTGGGTGGAAGAAATGTATTGTCCTTTTTTGAAAGCATATTCACAGATTCCTCTAAATCTGGTCTTGAGAATGATGGGACATATAAAGAATCTTTCGTTATTAGTGCCATTGTGAAAAAGCAAAGTGATTCTTGTTTGTAAATCTGTCTCAGGATTAGTTTAATGCTCAGAACACTCTCCACTAAAATGAAACAATCAAGCATATGAAGAAAATAAAGATTACTTCACTCTCAAATACAACCTGCACAAAAATTAAATCAGTATTTACCCTATGAAAATGTGAACATCTCCATGTTTCTTAGAGTACCACTGATGAAAGGTATTATTTTCACAAGGCAAGATTAAAAAAAAAAAAAAAAAAAAGGAAAAAACCTCCAATGGCTCTATAGCTTAGAGCAAAAAGTTATGAGTTCTCACCAAAACCCTGAATGTCTATCCTTATTTCTTTATTTTCAGATTGTGGAAATTAACCTGAAGACTCCATCTCTATTAGCAACCCCCAAATACAATCACATTTTTCTGGACCTTTGTATTCTCTCTCCACCAAAGCAGAACAAACATTATTACCTTGAATCCTTCATCACTTAGGGATCACTTGTAACTGAGATGCCTCATTTTCTACAGCTTGCACTACTGTAGTCCTTATAACAACTCTGAGATAAATACTTGGGAAGTTAATGACTGGCACTTGTCGGTTACTAAGAATACTATCAGTTTTGTGCTTTCTACGTGTGGAGACACACACTTGAAAATGATTTTGTGCTTTCTACGGACCATTAGCTTTTCTCTATCATGAAATATTAACTGTTATGTGTCCTCAGACATACTTTTCAAACCTACAAAGGAAAATGATACAACAGAAATATGACTTTAACATTTTAATTATGAATATAAAAAAGATAAATAACATTAGACTACAACAAAATTAACCAAGCTACTGTTTCCTGAACCTAAAAGCTACATGTAATGTATGTAAATATGTGGGCTTCTTTTTAAATGTTCATTAGTTATAACAAAATTTAAGAACAAAGAATTTTGTTCTTAAAAAAAAAAGGGGGGCACAAGCTATTCGTCAATACTGACACCCAGAAGGCACTAATCCAAACATCTAAGTTTCAAAAGCTGGTTACAATGGAATACCATATCTATTGGCCTTTGCCAATTTGGGAATTCAACAACAATAAGCCTAACTTCATTTTCAATTATCACAAGAAAAAAGTGAGTTACTAATGAACATTTATTCTACTCATGTAAATCTAGGCCCTTGATAGCAAACATTTTAGAGCTTTCAATAATTCAAACAGCCCTCTGCAGGGTATGTGCCATAGGTTTGTCACCACTGGTCGAGGCTATATTGATAAACTGAAACTTTATCTACTTTATCTAAAAGCAGTAAATCAAGTCCTTTATCCAGCAGCAGTAGTGAACAGAGTAAATTCATCAAGGAATTAGGTTGTAAATATCTACTCTCAACTTGAGCTGTTGTGAAAACCACTGTAATATACATTGCCCTTACTGGTAGGGTACACTGAACATAATCATCCTGATGGAATGGGGGGGTATTATTTATCACAGGCAACAGCAAAGTTCTTTTCTCCCTTTCTGAGAATTACAAAACCACTGGTCCTTTACAAGGAGAATCTGACACCATAATTTGCTCTTTAGACCCTTCTCTTCAATACTGTTTAAGGTAACTAAATTCAAGCACTGTTATACACAGTAAGGTTACTGAATTAAGTCAACAGCCACAGATGATTTACGATACTCCCCTGAAAAGTAAAGTACATGATACAGATATACCAAACCTTTTCTGTTCATTTCTAAGAAAAAAGACTATCTGTCAACAGTTATGTTGGTTATCCAATAAATGGGGTACAAACTCCAATCTGCTTAAAGGAGTTGATTGAGATAAATACAAATTATATCAGTTTCACACCATTTCTCTAAAGGTGCTCAATAGTTTAGGTCCAGCACTGGTAAGGGAGACATTTAAAGACAAACATTCACATGAGTAAATGAATAAATAATGGTGTGGGACTCAGATCTGCTTCATTCTCTACTAGGAACTGAAGTAGCTGAGCAGCTACACTATTCCAACAGAGGACAGACTCGACTTTAACAAGGAGGATCTGTACCAAGTTAAACCAACAAATCCAGTAATCTAAACGTTACATTTTATACAATCTAGCCTCAGGACTACCAATACAAATGGGTTTCTCTATCTGCCAACTGACAAGTTTCAACTTTTTAGCTTTATGTGCTGAAAACAACAGAACATTTTGGGCATATAAATAAAGTACTGCTTCTCTGCAATCTGATCGCATCATCACTTCAAATTTTCACTATCACTTTCTCCCTAATTTTTGAAAATGATGTTTTGAGAATAAAAAAAAAAAAACCTGACTTAACTATTAGTTTCTATTATTAACCAACACAAACCTAAGGAAATTATTCTCAAAAATTGACATTTTTGGCCAGCATAAATTTAGTACACTTAAACATAACTATTACCCAATATTTTGTCATTTTGATCTTAGTCCTTAATTTAGGGGCAAAGTAGCAGTTTTAAATACCGAGACAATATGCCTGAAAATGAAGTAAGCTGACAAAAAAAAATTAAGAAAAATGAGAATTTGGCAAAGAACTAACAAATCAACGTGAGAGGAGACAAAAAGACCACGTTAAAAGTATGCACACATGTATAGCAATGCGTGCCATTTACAAAGTCTGCTCGGGGTAATAATATCAACAATGAAATAAATTTAGCACTTTAGTACCTGGCACAGAAGAAATCTCATGGATACTGAAACCCACAAGTACTTTTCTGACTAAATTATTAGTATCACACATCAGTCATATTAACCTTTAAAGTTAATGTGTACATAAGATTAAATAAGTTACCAAGCTAGATCTTACTCCCTAATACTCTCATTTACAAGGGGAGTGGCTCAACATGTTCACATAGCACTGGACAAGGCCATACAGAACTGTAGTTTACCACTGGACAACACTGAACCACTGGCAGTGGTACAAGCCAACAGAAACTTGCTAAAATTGGCTGATAACCAAGATGCTTTGGGCTCTAGAATCAAGCTAACATTTGTTCCTCTGCCAACTTGTTCTCATTTGTATCACTTAAGTACTAATCAGCATCTTAACAGTTTTCCTGATTTCTCAGGAAAATTTTATACTTGCAAGGCTCTACAATTACATAATTTAACAAGAAGGCTTTGTACACATCTTGTCTCAACTCAAACTCAGAATGGTGAGGTGTCACTAGTAGTAGCACATGTGGTTTTCTTTCCTGTCATCATGCCTCAGATAGAGACAAGGAGTAAAACCTGAAGGAATCAAGTACACCTAACACTGCCAGACAAGAACATTGAAGGACCTATTCTTTTAATGACAACATAGATACGTCAGTGGTAGCGAACCTTTTAGAGTTTCTATGATACAAACAGCCCACTGCAACCCACATGGCATAGGTTTGCCACCATTGAAATAGGTCATTTACTTGGCAAAAAAGAATGAGAACCCATAGGCTACATGAAATGGTTTTCAAAGATGGGGAAATCTGTCCACCTTGTATACAGAAAGAAAAAGTCATGGATTGCCAATACAGAAAACAAGACAAGACTTTAGATAAAAGAACTGAGCAACAACCCTCCGACCCAATTCTTAAAATGGGAAATTTCACAAAATGATAGATCTCTGCTTATTTTTTGAGATGGACTCCCTAAGGGCTAAGACTACAGGACCCTAGGTAGTCTGTACTCAAAAAGACAACCAAGATCATTTCAGTCAAGTGAAAAGGAAGCCCTAGAGATTGAAATCTATTGAACTTAGGCTAAAAGGCATACCATTTATATTGTTTGATGCGCTCTATAGAGAGAAAAATGGTAACCTCCCAGGAAAGAATGGCTAAAGAAAAAAGGTTAGCTCAGCTAGTTACTCTTCTGAGATGAACAGAAGATAGGAGGTCCCACAAAAGAGACAAGAGCCATGCTGTGTACCAGTGTGCCTCAGCCTTTCTCATCAGATCCAGAGGCAAGAAAGACTGCCTAAGAAAACAAAAATCTAGGAGCTGGGAAACATCTACAGGTTCTCTTCACCTTGGTATTTTTCTCCACCTTAAAAGATTAGTAACCTTATCTCCTTATCTTGGGTCAATTTTGAAACTCAGCTTGAGCAAATATAAAAATGTACATTGATGTCTACAGAGATCAGTATCACCTATAAAATAACATTTCTCTAGCTTGAAGACAGTCCATACAACATTCCAGGAACAATCATTCTAATGAAAAATAGACGAAATAAGTCTCCTGAAATGAAGCTGCCATCAGAAATTCACATACCTATTCAAGCACATTATTAATGGAAAGTCACAAGCACAGCAAGCTTCAGGGACTTCAGTTTTAACTAAACTGATGTTTATACTGGCAAGAATAAACAATTCTATTGGAAATACTAACAGTCATTCCTTATTTACAGACATTAATACCCTAAACTTAACCTACTGTTATATATACACACAAGATGGATATATTTTATGTATCTTACTAAGACATGAGAGAGAAGGTAGGGAGACACTAATAATCCAACCTAGTAAGACACAACATTAAATACAGAAAAATCTATAAATACTTTCTATTCACTTACACTGTGAAAAGAAGGAAGAGTGCCCAGCCAATGTGTTAATTCTCACTGCTGAGTTATATGGCAGTATGTTCAGAGTCAAAGCCAATGTTAATTTCTACAATTTAATGCCAGTTCTGAAAGCCTAATATTCTATTACTTTCTCAAATAACAAAAAGTTGTCTTGAAGGACGAATATTTCTTTTGGAAAAATTGCACAAAGCACTGAAAAACCAAATGGTTTGTTAGAAACATCTGGACAAACACTTTGTCCAGATTTGGTGACCTGGCTTCTGTTCTTCCCAAATAGATTTTATGATCTGAGACAAGTTACAGCCTCAACTTCCATACAAAAAGATGGTCCCTATCTATTTACCCCCAGATTGTAAGCTTCATCAAATTGGGGGGAAAAAATTCTACAAGGCACTCTACAGCTCTTTAGAAATACATGCTATTCACAATAAATTACTTTTCATCTACCTACTCAGTCCATGACAAAGTCTTCTGAAGATGGAAAGACATTATGCTCTACCTGGTATCTTCTAAAATCAACTTTGGACTAATTGAGTCTATCATAAACAACAGGTTTGTACACTACAAAAAAAAAAAAAAAAATCTGAAGTCATCAAGGCTGAGTTTTGAATCAAAATCTACAAAATTATCTACAAAAGTGATTTTCCCTAATACAAGCTTAATAAAAATCATGCAATTTAAAAAGCATCATTTTAAAGAAAATCAAAGAAAGTAGATACATAATTAGCTTTCTTTCATGGAGGACACAGTACTATATAATCTATAGAGATTTTCTCTAACATCTTTTGTACCCTGTTCTAAGTAGAAACAGCCTGTGAAAAATATTCCCATCCACGGATGCTGCAACTGGGACAAACTAAGCCATGTCAAGAGAAGGGTCTTAAAATTTACGCAAGTCCTGTAATCATCTCTACAAGTGCACTACTATACTCCAAAGTTCTTGTTCATGGCACCTCTTGAACATGCTATACGTTACACAAAAAATGACTATACTGAAAATCTACAAGTGGCCAGCATGCACTCTTGAGTTTCCTGTTACTGATGGCCAGTTTGCATTGAAACATCCTCATGCTTTAATACACTATATAACAAAGATGTAGAGGATGTGTACAGATGGCAGGGCATTGGGGGGGGGGGAGGATAGGGGATAGAGGAGCAATGTTATCAAGAATGTAATGATTCCAGAACTAAAATTCTCTTCTGAAACGTCAACCTTAATATATCATGCTCTAATCAAGTGGGGTAACTCAGCACACAAAAGCAGTGTCAGTTTTTCTTTAGGATATTTGGATGCATCCTCCAACTTAATCCATTTGGGAAAGGATGTGTCTAATAAAGAATACAAGGGGGATAAAAAATATCAGGGAAACCTGATGGAGTATGCTTACTCGTGTGTTCAGCACAGGTTAATCAAACACTGCTAGGTATCTAGTAATTCCTAAACTGTACTTTAAAAAGTCCTTAAATTTGGTCAACAAGTGTGGGGGTCATCAGCAACACTTATTTCAGTTCCCCTCACAATCATTTAATAATTAAACTATGACATGTAACTTTCTAGGCTGACTTGGTCATTTTGGGTATGCTTCCTTAAGCTTCAATGAAAATAGGAAAGGGGGGGGTGACAGCACAATGGAATATTCCCCTCCAATATTACACATAAAGATGGTACAAAAATACCTACAGGCAAATATTCTACCTTTCTTTTGGCAATCAGAATCCAGACTTTATGTTAACAAAATTAAACCTGGCAATCAACCTGTCCTGAAATGGGTACAAACAAACATATTAGATTTTCAGTACATAACTGATTGTATGTCTCAAACTTCATTTTTCTTTAATGGTAGTAGGAATTAAGAGACAGAAAAACTTAGAAATGAGCAAATCTTCTACTTCAGCATAAGGTCTACCAAAAGTTAGCAGTGCAGACAATATACCTTATTCATGACACTTTTAACATATATTCTGCTTTAAGTTCTCTATGAGAATAATTGGTCTCTCCTAACTTTGGTATGGAAAAATTTTAACCACACTGTTGCACTGTTCAGTCTGTTTTGTTTCATTTAAGTTGAAGATTTACTTTCATCCATCTCTGGGAAAATAAAGTTTTACAAATAGATGATTTTACACTAAGTAAAATTTGGCTAAAAACCTACCAAGTAAACAATGCCTGAGAGATGCAACAGTTACATAATTTTTTTCCAAAGACCAGTACTTTTTTAAGTTAGGTATCTCACTATATCCTTAAGTTCATAAGGAAAAATACACAAACATGAAAATTCCAAGTGAACACACAGCAAAAAGTCCAATGTTTAGTATCACTTTAACTTTGGGAGTCTCTTCTAACATTTGTAAACAAACGGCCTCCTCCTCCATCAGGTCTCTGAGACTCCTCTTGCTGAGGCTCTTACTTTTAAAGCCACAAAACCAGTCTATGAACTTCCAGTACCGGTTTCCATTCTCTGTTTCTTTCTTTCTTTCTTTCTCACCCATGAGAGCTGCTTGCCCATTGGAATAAGCATCTACCGGTGTTTCTGCCTCTGAATGACCCAAGGAAGCCACCGGATTGCCTTCTTCTCTGCAAGTCACCAACAGATTAACATCTTCAGGCTGTAAGCCCTTTATGCTATCTTCAGATTTCCCATTGGGAATGACGTGGTTAATGGCCTCACTGTTCTCATTGCATCTGAGAATGCTCTTCTCTTGCATTCTGTATAGTTCATCTTTCTGAGAACAACTCTCCTTTGACACCACATTCTTCTTAGACCAAAAGGTGGTGGTACGAATCTGTTCCTTTGTAGGTGGTGGTGTGAGGAGGCTAACAATTACAGTAATGAGTCCTGTCACCCAAAACAATGCTGTGGCCACATACATATAATGGATATCTTTGATGAAGCCCGGCCTGTTATCAGGTTGGTCACACTCTGGGGCACGGTAGGTAAAGGCTAGTATCAAACGGACTGCTCCAAGAACAAAGCCAGCCATTCCACCATAGAAAGCCCCTTGTTCATTGCAGCGCTTCCAGAAAATTGCCAGAAGGAACAGGGCTGCCACTGGGGGTGTCAGGTAATCTGCTACTTCCTGAATATAAAGGTACATCTGGCCTCCTTGCATCTCCACGATGATTGGCACCCATGCTATGCTGATTACCACCATAAAAGCCACAAATATCCTCCCCACAATCATTAGTTCCCGGGAGCTTGCACTCTTGCGGATGAGTTTGTACACATCGAGGGTGAATATGGTACTGGCACTGTTAAAGATAGAGTCCAAGTCACTCATCAGAGCCGCAATCATCACTGCCATCATCAATCCCCGAAGCCCCACAGGAACCAGTTTCATCACCAGGCGCGGGTAAGCAATATTGGAGCACCCAGCTCTGCTTCCACACACTTTCATGCAGTGTTCCGGGTTGATGCAAGCTATATCATCAACAAACAGTATCCTGGAAATCATTCCTGGAACAACTATGATAAACATTGGCAGAAGCTTCAAGAAGCCAGCCATAAGAGTAGAGCCTTTGGCATGAGCAATGTTTTTGGCTGCTAGGACCCTCTGGACGATGACTTGGTCAGCACACCAGTACCACACTGAGGCCGGGGTCTGCCCAAGAATGAATCCAGGCCATGGAACATCTTCATCTGTTGGATCCCGTAACATTTTTAAGGCTTCTTTCTTAGGGTGGACAGTACAAGAATTTGTGTGAGAAAGGTTGTACGTCAACAAGATGGAAGAGACATTGGGTGAGGCCAACATGTACCTTCTCTTAACTTCCTCAAACCCACCAATCTCCATCATGCTAATAATCATAAGTGTGAGTGCCCCAATAATCATGAGCAGGGCCTGCAAAGTGTCTGTGTAGATCACTGCAACAAGGCCTCCGGTGACAGTCAGTAAAGCAGTCATGCCAATGAGCAGGATGACAGACACATAAAGGTTCCAACCCAAAGACTCCTGGATAAAAAGGGCGCCCGAATACAGATCCACTGAGAGTTTGGTGAAGATATAAAGAATCAGAGACAAGGCTGCAAAATAGACCTGAATCCTATGGCCACCAAATCGCTTGGACAAGTATTCAGGCATGGTGTACACCCCTGATCGGATGTAAATTGGAATGAAAACCCATCCCAGAAGTTGCAAAAGCAGTAAGGCATTGAATTCCCATGCGCCCACTGCAAATCCACTTGCAGCTCCAGATCCTGCCAGCCCAATGAAGTGCTCACTCCCAATATTGCTCACAAACAGAGAGGCACCAATTGCTACCCAGGTCATAGAGCGCCCCGCCAAGAAGTATCCACTCACGGTGCTTCTATTAGATTTCCACATGGCAAAAAAACCAATGCACATGACCAGGATAAAATACAGGGCCACTATGGCAATGTCTGCTGTCTCCAGTACAGCCCTCATTCTGGTAACTTCTGAATAAATGTCCAAATGACAGAAGTGTCCAACTTTTCTTACTTATTAGTAACCCCAGTCAAGTTTGTAAACCATACGTGAACTGGACTACAGAGAGCAACACAGCAGGTCAAAGTCTTTGTCCTTTGGTTTGCTGTCTTGATGGTGGTGATAAACTTTGAAGGAGACAGTTAAATTTTCCTCCGCTTCTTAATTGGGATCGAGAACTTAGCTCGTACTCTTAATCCACTCTCCACAAGACCATCAGCATTTACTCAGGTGCTGGAGGAGAAATTCTGAGTTGCAGCTAAGTCTAGTGAAGCCTACTGTACCAACCCTGCAAGGCAGCAAAGACAAAAGACAAAGATTGAATTAGAGGAGGGTCTCACCAAGTGATGAGGAAACTTTCAGTCAAACAAAAACGGCGCAACAGACATTAAAAAAAAAAAAAACCTTTTAAAACACACTTCAGTTTCACAACAAAGACTAATCTGCACTCTTGCAGCTGATACTTAAAAATCACGGAGTATATAATTTTGAACTAAAAGCTCATCAACTTTAGAAATGGTGTAACTTTCTTCAGCAACTGTCTACCATGACAGTATATAGTGTCCTTTCTTTTCTTACTGTCACAGTCTCATTTTGGAATAGGCATGGCTATCTTGAAGTACACTTTTTGTAAAATCATTTTTACAAATTTGCTGCATTTTCTACTGATAAGGAAACAGGATCTAATTTAAGTAAAGGAGGTAGGGGTATTCAGAAATGTACCAAAACTAATCTTCAAGCACTATGAATCCTAAGATTATCTGGGGTTAACTTTATGGCCCTTAGGGTTCTGGATGGAAACAAAGAGCAGATATATTCTCTAGGTGTTAACATCTATCCCCAGATAATTTATATGCAGAAAAACAAATACTGTTACAAATCCATTGCCAGTGAACTGCCCTAAATTTCTACTATAAATGTATAATTACAGTGACCTAAAACTTAGAAGATGCATTCTGGGAAAAAAGATCTTCCATGCAAAAAAATAGAAACACACAACTTATAAAAACACCCTAAGATTTCTGTAACTGAGGTGTTTAAAGAAAAAGACTTTTAAAAAAGGTAATCTCCTTCTCTTCCTTTTCTTCAGGCACTATTTCCAAGAGAAACTCTGAGAAAAGTACCGACCCAGGTATAATTTTGTTGAATATTTTTTCCTTTTAACTTGAATGATATTGAAAGTAAGGAGAGGAAGAAGTCATTTTCTAAATTATTTTGTCTTCCAAACCTGAACACAACATATTTGTCCATTAGATAAATCATCTTCAGAAAGTCCATCATATTTTTCAGTCCTGGGTTAAGATAATCATTCTGCAAAACAGACATTTAAATTTACCTAAAATAATTTTTACAAATTTTCTGGCTTTTCTACTGATAAGGAAACAAGATCTAATTATTCAAAGATAATTATAATTGCAGCTGACAGGTAGATCAATAAGAAAATTATTATTCAAACCTGATACTTCTGTATGTTATTCTAAGTCATTTGTCCTTTTTTTTACTGAGAAAATTTCAGCCTTTCCATGCTTGAAAAACATGTTTCTAATAAACATGGGTATGTTCTTTTTAAAATGAATGGTAAACTTTACATCCCACAAATAACAATAAAGCTACCTCTTCTGAAATCTGTTCAAAATAGACCACAGTGCTAAAAACATATAAACACAATTCTCACTGGCAATAAACTAGACATAACACCGCAACAGTAATGTTCTTTCAATTAGGCCTAGCTAATTCATAAAGCTGTGTAGATAAAAAATGTCAATCCCATCTTTATGCCCATGTAAAATGATTAAAATCCCACCTCCTCAAAGTCAAGAGTTAATGGCCAGCATCTGTAAAATTGCCAAAGATAAAAAATATACTTAAAAGTTTCAGTATGCCACATTATACTTGCCAAATACTAAAATGGGTCATATCTTACGCCTTCCCCACACCCAAAAGTTTTAAGTTTTTAAAGAAATTCTTTGAAATTATTCACAACCACCCGTTTGAATGAGATCTTAAATCAATAATAAATGTATGTTATACCTTTAAATGTTTCAGTGCTAGGGATACAAAATGTTGCCAGCTAGGAAATCCTTCTGTCTCCCCAGTGTTTAAGTCATACCCATGTCACCTGCTCAACTTAACCCTAGCTCAAAGAAGTCAGAAGCCTTTCCAGGTACTGTTCTCCTCAATAGGAATGGCTCACCGTGTACTCCTAAAGGAAAAAAATCTAGTGCCTTGTTTTTTGAGAGGGAAGGTGGAGGTTTCATTTATGTATGTGTTCAGAGACAAAGTATTCAAAATTCAAAGTAAGTTATTTCCTTTCTCCATCACTAGAATGCAGCAGCAGCAGCAGTGGTGGTAGTATCATCACATTGTTCTGCACTGCCAAATATGATTTATGCCAAGGCTGATCTCTAATTCATGTGCTGTCCCCTGCAAAATGCTCACTCACTATGCAATATAACAAATACTGTCAAATTCGTATTCTTTTGTTCCATGAAATTCTGTATTGTTTCTAACATATTATCATTATTTTGTATTCTCTTTAAAAAAGAAAAAAGGGGAAAAAAAGCAGATTCTTTAATGTTCCTGTACAAAGCCTGATCCCTAACTTCCTTGGGAAAAAAAAAAACAAAACAGAAAAGCTCCGACTCTTTAACTTAACTTCCCTAGGATATAGTCTGTCCCCAAGAGAGGTAGTTAAACCCCAGGCAGCAGCTAAACCCTAGCTCAAAACTGATTTCAATTCTTTATCGATTCCTCTTCAGATATCTCAAAAACTACTACTGACATACTAGTCTATGTGTAGGAATTTTTTTCCCATCTACTTTTTTTGGGGGGCTAGACTTTCCCAATTTGAACAAAATACACACAGAAATTGGCACCTGCTAAAAACAGGAAAAGGAAAAACAAAACCACAAAGAGGTCAATTTAGTTTTCAGAAAGATATACAATGTAAATGTCATACTCTACTCTTTATGAAAAGATTGTCAAGCCCTTAAATTTCAGCCTTTTAAGGGTTAGAAATAAAAAGTTTTCCTTTAAAAGGAGTAAACATTTCTTTAAAAAAAAAAAAAAGTACAGGGTGGGGGAGACAGCTCGGCAGTCTAAGTGCCTACCTGGCCAACGCAAGGACCCAAGTTCGATCCCCAGTACCACAAGCCATGCTGCCCCAGAACCCTAGGCATGCCATGCTGGCTACCAAAACTGGGCTTGGGGGCGCACACCTATAGTCCCAGCTCTGGGAAGGCTGAGAAAGGAAGATCACTACAAGTCTGAGCTGCAATAGCGAGATCCTGTACCAAATAAATGAACAAATAAATGATGACAAAAATTCAGTGAATATTGTCCTGAGTTCCTTTATTCTTAGGAAAAACAGAAATTTTTTTCTTCGCTAATGTGAAGCTTTTTAATGCATTTTACTCTTATGTTTTTTGTTTCTTTTAATGTATTTGGTTGTTACAGGGTTTCACAAAACTCTAGGACTCATGGCACTACTCCTGCTTTCAGCCTTCCCACTGCTAGGATTACAGGCGTGCGCTACCACCCCTGGACTCTGGCTGGCTCAGCTTGTCCTGGGGGCAGGGATGGCATGGCATGTGGTGCAGGGGATAGAACCTCGGCCCCTGTGCTTTTGCCTAAGTTTGCCTAAGCAGGCACTTTAGTCCACTGAGCTACCTCACCAGCCTGCTTTATTTATTTACATTATGCCTTTTTTATGACTCATAGTTCAGAAAAGGTCTTAAATAAGAAAATGGTACAAGTTGGGGCCGGGGAGATGGCTCAGTGGAATAAGCTCTTCCCCGGCAAGCGCAAGGGCCTGAGTTCAAGTCCCAGTCCCACAAAAAAAAGAAAATGGTGTAAGTAATCAAATAGGTATAATAATGAAAAACTACATGAGGGTTTTATTTTGTGAGCTGGTTCCTTGGTAGTACATTTTAAAAGTTACTTCTACGGTAAAAGTAATACATATTTGCAGAATTTATAAAGAGACCTGTCTCCTCATAGTGACAGGTAGATTTAGTCAAACTTCAAACACAAAGGTGCTATAAAACAGAATTCCCCCTAAAAGAGCTGTATATATTAGAAAGTAATGTCCTGTATCTCAAATTAAGAACTGAGAAGTACACATAAAAATCTATTTGACCAACACAAAAATAGATCAAATTTAAGTTAGCCGTTAAACTTCAAGTGATACAATATGCTTACCAAAACAGAATTAGTTATAATGACCAAATCTCTGCCTACTATCTAGGACAGTGATGGTGAACCTTTTAGAGCTTTCAATGAAAACAGATCGCTGCAGTATGTATGCCATAGCTTTGCCACCACTGATCCACAGTAACCTCTACCAAGCCAGGAAAGTATTCTAGATTATAATCTGTAAAATCCAGGTATGGTCATTATCCAAACAGAAAAATCACCTATCAGAAAAGTAAAACAGGAAACATAGAAAAATGAACCCTAAACTCAATCAGGGCTCCACATCACAACAAGTACAATGACACTTGCAAACTAGTAACAATAGAATTTTTATGGTATTCCTAAAAAGTGACCAAGCAACATTTTTAGTTTTGGGATCAGTTTACAAACACACACTCAAGAGTCAACCTGAAGAAGCCCTGGTAGTACTGTGGAAGATAGGCCTGAAAAGTCCTGTTGTAAGCGCACTAAATAAAATGAAAACTATTCACACAATGAGCTAGTAATTTAAGGGTTACATAACACAGACACTTTCAAAAACCTGAGTGCCTGAATTATAATGGCCTTTGAGTAACCTACCAAAAAGAGAACATGAGCATACCAGAGGCTTGCTTTCTCACAACACTGTAAAGGTAATAGGTAGAGGATACACCAGTTATGGGGAGGTGGCATGATATACTGGACAGCAGTCAGCTTTGAAGAGGTAGGCTATAAACTCTGATAGTTCCTAACTGTAGAATCTTTTGTAAACAACCTATCTCTATACACCTCAACTGTCTCATCTATAAATGCAAGTGTTTAGGTCTTAGCAGCATAATAAAGAAAAATCTATAGAAAGTGAGCAATGTTGCCCAGAACAACAGGGTATGGGGTTCAGTAAATGTCTCTACAGCCTGAATGGACTGGCGATGGTACCAGCCCTTTCAAATTAAATGTCAACTAGGGGCCAGGGAGATGGCTCAGTAGAAAAAGCACTTCCCTGGCAAGCACAAGGGTCTGAGTTCAGTCCCTGGTTCCACCAAAAAAAAAAAAATTAAATGTCAACTAATTGACATTTCAAATCTTCCCCAAAGTTACTTAAATATAAAAGAATAC